TTCGGAAAAGCAACCAGGAACTGTCCTGTCTATTTTTCTAAGGTAAAAGCTTCGACACCTACATGTGAATTGTTAGTTACAGCTGGAATTTATAAAAATGAGGAACTTGACCACTTTGGATTGTCTCAATGAGCATTTAGGCTGATACACACAGACTAAATTAACAACTGGTTAGACCTTTTTCAGTTCAGCACTCAGTCTATGGTTCCTCCTTGTGAGAATCTCATCCCCTTCGAAGGTAGGATGTAGATAGATAGGCTTGTTGTCGACTGTAAAGAACTTGACTGTCTACACTTCTGCCGTACCATACTCATCAGTGAACTGTGGGTAACCATTTTTATGCAGACAGTATTAGACAAAGATCAGTTCTTCCTCAGTTTTCGCTTCAGAGCACATTTTACGCTTACGGTTGAAAGTGTTTTTACTAGACACATTTGTAACTGATTGAGTAAAAACTGATGAAATCTAAATACTGCACACTCAATAGGCCTTTCCGATGAATGTATCTATTAGTCTTTCCATCTGTATGGAGGTGTAGACCGAGACGTAGAAGTGAAGCTTTTCGATAAGGTTTAGTTTCCATTATATATTCGATATTGTAGTGATCTCCATTAAACAAATTCAATAAATGAGAAGCATTTTTACTATGACTGCATACAACAAATGTATCCTGAACGTACCTTGTATAGAATGCTATTTAGTTGGTTGCACACTTCAGTCCTGCATGTTCTTGACTCACTATGATGATATTACCAAGAATCGAGCCGCAAAGCTGATCTTGTTGACTGTATCAACTTGAATTAGGATTGAACATTAGTAGAAGCTGTCTGAATTCATAATTTTTGGAAGCGGAAGTAGGTCTGGTTACTGACATATAGTATCTATTGTCTCTTTCAGTGGTAGTTTTGTAAATAAGGATGGCACATCAAAAGAAGCTATAGATGTCTGAGAGATATTGAGATCTTTCAGCATTTCTGCGAATTTAAAAGTATCTTTCAGACTGCAAATTCTCAAGCTTTCAGCTCATTGTAGGCTTCTGCATCTATTAACTTTCTGTTCCGAAGTTCTTCTTACTTTCTTGGCATCCGTCATTTTGTTGACTGTCTCATGGCCTTATTTGTGCGGTCAGTTACAAATCTTGATTAATCATCCAGGATGGACATATTTTTCTCTCTCTATTATGACAACACCGTTGCCCTTATACGGGTAAAGAATCTCGATGTCTTTATGATTGATTAAAGTATTCAGAGGCGTTTGGTGATTCGTGGATCAAAATTTCGATGGCGGAAATTGCTAAATGATATGTTGATTAGCAATGTCAAAGAGTTATGATTTTAAACAACTTTTATTTTTCATCATCTACAAGTTTCAACTCAAATAACCGGCTGTATAGATTCTCGGACTGTGTCTCTCTATCTAATATTTTGTTGAACGCTTCAGGGATATGAAATCTGAATCCAATTGAAAGTGTTTCATCTTCAGTCAAGTTCATTTTTAAAGTGAATAAGATGCACGTTTACTTCTCAGGCTTTTTGAAAATTCCGTCATACGGTTTTTCTTTTTAAAGAGTTCTACAAAAGGTTTTCCCAAAGCCTCTGCACCTTTTAAAGTGAATGCCTCAGATGACGTTCATTTTCTATTAACTCTGATGCAACACTGCGCACAAACTCTCCCATTTATATGTATTTATTTATACTGCTATTTGCTATAGAATGTCCATTCCATCACTGTAATTCCAGCTGTAACTAACAATTCACATGTAGGTGTCGAAGCTTTTACCTTAGAAAAATAGACAGGACAGTTCCTGGTTGCTTTTCCGAAATTTCCCGAAGAATTTGATTCTTAAGGGTTACCAGGTTTCAAATAGCACAGTCACCCTGCATTCGCTTCATACTGGGCATAAAGTCAGTGAATCAAAGCCGTTCAGAGTGATCAATAAACAATTGAAACCCACCATTTTGAGGTCTACTGAAGCATTCTCAATTAAAAGACTCAAACCTGATGTATGTAATAAGAAAGGCAGTTGTCGACCTTGATTTCCCTTGATAATTTTAATCTCTGAAATTTGTAAATACAAATTGATGACCTCATGAACTTTTTTCTCACTTTACTTTTTGGTCTATTCAAAAACCTACTCTCACTTTCTGAGTTGTATTCGTCTTATTACACAACATAATGAAAGCCTTGTTGACCTTTACTTATACTTAGTTAAAAATGATGTCATTTTCTATGAATACTTGAATAACACTGTGCACAAACTCTCTCATTTATATACATTTATGTATATTGCTATCTCCTATAGAATGTTCATTCCATCACTGTATAAATAGCCTTTGAGCAGTTTTTAATAAACCCATCGATCTTGGTCAACTTAAATCTTTGTTACCTTTCATCGAAGTAAGTTACACAGCATACTTTTCATCATGAACATTATATTCTATATGTTATGAAGCAGCTGAGGAGAATCTATGAAATACATGCATGTTAATCCTGGATATTACGTGTGTTTTAATTATAGTAATGATGGATAGTGGCTAGCAGTGGGATCCAGAATGCGCATTTTGAACTCTGGGCCGCACCTGGATAGGAACGCATGTGGCAATATTGACCGATCACTTCGGTCAATGCAGGCAATTATAATGAAACCATACCCACCGCACAAGAAGTGGCTATGGCGACTAGGTGATCTAGTGGATGACGCTCTGGAGTTTGAAGCGATCAGTCTTGAGTTTGAATCCTAGTGGGAACAACATCACTGAATGGGAGACAGGTACATCCAGCTGGCGGTCCCAAATAGCAAGAAATGCGCATGATGGATTCCACTGCTAGCCACTACCCATCATCTTAATATATTAATCTGTTATTAGTATTGTTGCTTGTATCACACCGTCGTTGATTGGACCGAATTGACCAGTCTCTGTTGGCAAACGCAGTTCTATGCGGACGCCTCGATATTACCTGTCTTTTAACTATGTTTAGTAATGATGGGCAGTGGCTAGCAGTGGAATCCAGGACGGGCATTTCGTCCTATTTCGGACTTGTCAGCTGGATGTACCAGCTTCCCAGTGAGTGTTGTTCCCACCGGGACTCGGACTCAGGAGCAACCGCTTCAAAAGCCATCGCGTTACCCACTACACCACCGAGCCACGGTAGGCACTTTTCGTGCGACGGGTACAGGTCTAGTTATTATTAGTTTATGAGATGTAATAACAATTGGTCAGTCTGAAGTTTATATTCAATATACTTTGATTGTTTCCGATCGTTCAGTTTATTTGGTAAGTAAGTGAATTTTGTCACCTACATACCCTTTTTCCACATGTTTTTCGTGAAATATTTAGAAGATATAAAATTGTGAAAGAATGTTTTTGTAACCAAATAACGGCTTAAATGAACTTATCAGTTTGGAGGGGAAAACTCTTCTTCAAATTGAGGAATTTGAATTTTATCAGTTATGCATTACATATTATATATTCCATGAAAAGTTTTACAGAATAGTTAGACTTCATCAACAACATGATTTCAACAAATTGTATCGGTATACACTGACTGGTCATTGAAGAGTATTTAGTTTCTTATTTCTTATATTTTCTTATTGACCGATCACTAAAGCTATTTGATTCATGTTAGCTAGTTGGGTGCAGGGAGCGAGAAGAGGGGTATACACTGGCTGGACTGCGGAAAAGAACCTAGAAGACTTCGATTTCGCCGATGACTTGTGCCTGATGTCACATAAACTTGAAGATCTACAGGCGAAAACTAACAAGTTGGCAGAAGAGGCAGGGTAGCGAAGACGGGACTTCAAGTGAATATAGAGAAGACAGAAGTGATGAAGATACCGCACCACCACCATCAACAACAACAACAAACTCCAGTCACCATCAACGGGAGAAACTTAAAGGAAGTAACCTCCTTCACTTATCTAGGAAGCACTGTTTCAACTACAGGCGGGACAGACGAGGACGTCAAAGTCAGAATCGGAAGGGTAAGACAGGCCTGCATTAGCCTGAAACCAGTGTGGAGATCTTCTGCACTCAGCATGCGGAACAAGATACGGATTTTCAACACCAACGTCAAGTCGGTGCTTCTGTATGGTTCAGAGACTTGGCGCGTCACGAAAGGCATTTCCAATAAACTACAGACATTCATCAATAACTGTCTACGCTCGCTACTGAAGATGAGATAGATTACCAGAAAGAATAAGCAACAAGGAGCTCTGGGAACGAACCAACCAAGAACCTATCACTCAACAAATATGCAGGAGGAAGTGGAGATGGATTGGGCATGCACTGAGAAGGCCGACTGAGGACATCACGCGTCAGGCCAGGTACTCGAGTGGAATCCCCATGGGAAGTGACGAGTTGGGTGTCCGTGGTGAGGGTGACATGGAGGAGGTCGTGCGAGGAGGAAATGAGAGGTTGTGGGCTGTCGTAGGACCAGGTCCAAACGATCTCAGAGAACAGAGGTTACTGGAGGCGTGCTACTGAAGCCCTATTTTCCACTAGGAACCCAAGAGACTAATAATAATAATAATAGTTGGGTGTAGTCATTAGGAAGACTTGAATTTAGATTTCGTGGTTATAAGCAAATACCTGTAATCAATATATGGAATGCAGTTCTACAGGTGTCCCACTTACAACTCAAATAGCTCAACGATAACCTCAACGACTGTAACGCAGGATGAAGCATATTCAAGTTACTAAAATGGTATTATTTGTCTTGAAGTTGTAAATTTACCTTGCTGAATAATACAAAGAGGCACGAAACTTATGTACAAAGCTTTTCGTCAATTATCTTAAATCAATATACATCACTATGCTCTGTTGTAATTCATTAAGTGAATGGATTGTTTAGTTGTTTTTAACTTTTGAAAGATTCTCATTCAAGGAAGTCAATACATGAATTCAAAATGAATAAATTTCATCTTTGAAATAAAAGTTATCGGAGAAAAAAATGATCAATACCTTAGATTGTTTATCAAAGAATCATTAGCATGGACTTACTTTTTATGCTAACTGTCAACTCTTCATAACTTCTACCGGTTTTCTTACGTTTATTTGTATGATTACCATCCACAATATATGATGTTTCTACATTGACATTATCATTTGATTCTGAAGATGTTTTAGTGAATGCAGTCAACTTTGATGGTAGTTTAGTAAACTTAGGCGTTACAACAGTTACTGACATTGATGTAGTTAATGTAGATTCATTTGGGATTGTATCACCTTCACCTTCATCATCTTCAATATCAGATGCTGATTGACTATCTGTATTTTGATCTGTATTGATTTTATGCTTTTGATTACGATGATGTAATGATTTTGACTTTTTACGTGATAATGTTTGACAATCATCATTATCTGTACATGAATCTGCATATAATGTACGATCAATAAATCCATCAGAATCACTTTGTGCTGTTGTATAAGCCTCTTCACTACCTGTACCAATAAGTCGACTACATACAGTTACATAAGAATCTGCTTCACTGATAACACTTTCTTGGCTTATTGTTGATAACATTGAAACTAATGAACCTGAATGAGATTTATGCAAATTCTTATTGTTATTAATAATAGCAGTAGAGGTAGTAGTTGTAGCACTGGTAGTATTATGCAATATATCAGCTGAAAGTGGACGTGATTTAAAATTCCCGTTATTCTCTGTTGAATTATCTGTCTTTTTAGGTCGTAGTATAATAATTTCAGGTGTTTGTAAATCTGATTCACTTGTAGTAATATCTTTTTCTTGGAAAATAAATGATTGTTTATGACTTCTGTTATTTTCCAAGTTCAATCTTATTGCTTCAACTTGACCAGCTTGTCTGATAATATGATATTGTTGACTAGTAATATCATTAGATGATAGTTTAAATTCTTGACTTATTGATTGATTACTCGATAATTGATTATGTCTAGAATAAGCAGGTGTAGAATTAAATCCTCTATTATTATTATTATTATTATTATTATTATTTCTTTTAGACAGATGTTGCTTATTTTCTAAAGTATTGTTATTATTACCTTCATTTATAGATGCTTCATGTTCAGACGATGACCAGTCATCATCATTTTCCTCTGAAGCTTCATCAATCGTTGTTAATGAATGACCATTATCATAGAGTTGGAAGTCATCGCTATTTATTGTTTTGTTAAGATTATTATCGCTACTATAATCATTATCAATGTCATCGTTATTATTGTCACTATTGTTATTCCGTGAATAATTAGTATTGATTGGAAATGTGATTGTATCATCATTTGAGATGATTATATTATGTAATTTCACTTCATCTGATACAAAATTACTAAATGTCGGTGAAATAGCTGGTGATATACTACTACTTTCTGATTCTGTGGTACTGTTCTCCTGTTTATCTGGTTGATAGTCATCTAAGTCAGTTTCTATGATAGAGTGATGATCATGTGTACTAAGATCGCAGTGAGGTATTTCATCTCCTTCTCCTTCTTCATCTTCACCACCTTCGTCAGTATTTACAAACTCATTATATTTACCAGTAACTTTAATAAAATGTCTTGCTTGGTTTTGATGGATACCACTCACATTGACATGTGGATTGAAAGTAGTAAATGAATTTTCGTAGAATGGATCATGTAAACTGAAATCTGATGGAGATCTCCATGTCTTCTGTAGATACCTTTCTCCTTCAATGTGATCATAACTACTACTACTAGTAGTAGTAGAAGTAGAATTGTCAACAACTTGATGTACAAAGTCACAATCCAATAAATCTTCTTCATTAATTTGATCACCATGTCCTGATCGATGAAATGAATTTTCCATTGAACGTATACGTATATCCATAAATTCATCTGTATCATTCATAAATGAAGAACGCTTTTCATTCATACACCTTAAGTCATCTGATAAATCTGTTTGATTAGATAGTAATGGAGGTAGGGATTTTGTTGAAGGTTTTGGTGATTTCTTTTCAATAACTGTATGTTTATTAATAATTCCTGTTGTTGTGGTCATAGGTTTTGTCGTTGTTATAGAGTTCGCCTTGATTGATCGAACCAATTCAGGTGATGTTGGAGTAGTTTGATTTATACGTTCAGTTAGTACATCTATATCTCGACGTACAGATTGTAATAAATTCTCCATTGAATCATATCTTGCTTCAGTTGCTTGAATCCATTCATCAGCAATATTTAAAGTTCTACCTTGATATCTCGGAAATGTACTAGTAGTGGTAGTGGTTGTGGTGGTTGTAGTACTGTCATACATCGTAGCATTTCCACTATGACTCATTTTATCTCGTGTTATATGAACAGAACTTGACGGAATATCACGATTTATTTCATTATTCATTGTTTCCTATCTTTTTATTATCGTTAAAACTATCAACAAGATCATACATACATTCCCAATATTTTTTATCCTGTTGAACACATTGAGCATATTGTTTTAATCGCATGATGGCAGGATGAATTTGAGGTGAGTATACCACTTGTTTTTTTGTGATACAGTCTGAAATGTGTTATAATTTTATTTCATAGTTGTTTTCATGTTTCTTTTTGTTGATTGAAAGACAAATTTTTATCATAATTAATCAAAAATATCAATGAAGTTGATACCGATGACAAAGATGATGTTTTGTGATAATCTTTCCGCAGATAAACAACTAATTAGTATGATAGTGATGAAGATGGTTTACTGGAATTATTTCTGTATGTATTTTTTGGTCAAATAATAGTTTTGTTTATCCAATAGCTATTTATACACTTATAAGTAAGTGTGCATTAAGCATTCGGTGCTATGATTGTGCAGATGGATAATATATAACACTTTTAACCAATCACTCAATCAATCAGCTCGATTCTGATTGGTTAGTCTGGCTTTTATTGTTGTTTTAAAAAAATGTAACGAAAAAAAGCATCAAAGCAAAACTGTTGAACCGTAGAAAGTTGTGAATATTTTGATGGATGCGCAATAATCACAAATATCAATGAAACACTTTGCACGTCTTTATGATAAATTACTAGGATATATTCATTGATAGCTTGATTAATAGCAACAGTAATCCTTCAGTTGTGGTGTTTATGTTTATGTGTGTGTGTTTATACGAAAGAGAGAGACAGACAGCTTTTGCAACTGAAGACTAGAAACAAACTTCAGCTTGAGACTTTAGGTAAAATCTCAAAGTAAATGATTTCACAGGGTTTTTTCTGTCGGGAAACAATTGAAACAACTTGACTTGTTTGTTTATCAGTGGTAACAAACCTGTAATACAGAGGGGAAAAATGGGATATATTTTCGTGCATAAAAAGGATTCTTACTATTTAATTATTAAATTGTAACGCTTTTTGACAAAGACCTCAGTAAACTAACGTCAGTTGTTTGACGACCTTGAAGCGTGATATTTTTTTTCACAGAGCAGAAGTGTCCAATGTACTTTTTGATAAGTAAATATCACTATGACCATCTAGGGTAGCCATAGTTTGGCAGATTTATATTCTTGACACTGAAGGATAAGAGAGTACGAAATGAAAACCTTGTCTGGTGCAAGATTCGAACCAGCGACCACTGGGTTACCGGCCCTGAACTCAAACAACTGAGCTAAGAGACCCGGCTGATGACTACCCATTCTAATTTACTTTTCATTTTCTAATAAACTACAGACAGTTCACCAATCTCAAAGTACCTACTATCACTACAGAGGTCATTTAACTGACTGCTTTCTTTTCTGGCATATTTAAGTGATTAAATTCCAGTGTAAATATAATTTTTAACAAAAACAAACAACTTATTCAACAACTTTTAATGTTCAATACTCATTTCTCAGGTGATGCTGAAGTGTAGCAGAGCATTATTGGTGAAGTGGTTAAAAATATTACTATTGAGTATTTGAGTAGTGAAAATTGCCATTAAATTTGAGGAAACGTTATTTTTACAGTTTCATGTTAGTTTATCCATGCATAATACAAATTGACATCGCTCTTCGAGTGTGTCTTATTTATATTGGAGGTCGCGTTTCAGTGCGAATTGTTTGTAGCAATACTATAAGAACACCTAGGGTTTTCACTGGCCGTCATACAAATGAGTAATACATGGCTGTCCATTGATTGTTAGCATTTTCGTTACCCAGTCAGGTGTCCACTTCTTACTCAAAATTGAGCTTAGTTGGATAGAGGGAATGAGATGACCATGCTTTTTCAGACTGATATCTTTGATATACAGTCTTTCATGCTAGTGAGAAGAGCACTAAGCTGGTAACTCAAAAGTCGGTGGTTCAAATTTTGCTGTTATCCATGTGTTCGTCCTTGGTTTAATCACCTAACTGTCTAGCTATTTGGATCTGTAGGAAAACTGAAAAATTCAACGAATAGCATACGCATTTTTAGGTAAACCAGGACATGACAATAGATTAGGCAGTCACTGACCGTTGACGTGGATCTCATAACGAATTTGTGGCTAACTAGTTGTGCTGTTCAAGACGATTAAAACTGATTGGAAGAAGACAGAGATGTTGATTTCTTGTTTTTCTTGTTTTTTTCAACGTTTCATCCTGCTGTTTCCCTCTAAGTATATGTTTATTCCCAACCCACTCATACCTCATTATTTGCTAGTTGTAGTCTAAAGTATATTAACTCATTCGTTTGCATTTATGCTCTGATTTCATGGGTGATGACTTCTAATGATATATTTCTTTTCATTAAAGTTCTCTTTTGACATGAGCAACTCATCAGCTGTAGATCTACATTTAGATTCCGGTATTAGGTGTCGGGAATGAATCGATACAAAGCCATAGACCAAGCATTCTATGCATGTTGGCAATCACCATGAAGAGAATGGTGTTCCATCGGCGATTTGAATTAGCATCACTCTATGCTGAAGTCAAGGAACTTACAGTTCAGCTGTTTAGGCCACGACCGTGAAGAGATGCATGAAGTACAGAAATCAATCACGAGTCAGTGATTGATGTAGCTGTCCAATCTTTAGTTTTAATCGACAATAACCACTTCCTAAATACAATGAATCATTCATTCAGTTGCTTTTTTACTTATAAACGTGTCTCTCATGTCAATCAAAGCAATCACAAAATCTGTATGCAGTTCAGTGATATTTTCAGTAACCACTGAAAATTATTTAAACAGCTTACACATATTTAATTTGAACTGTCTAGCAATTTAATTCTCGGTAGTGCTTAAGAAATGAACCAGTCAAATGCTGTTTTTTCTCAATTCTTATATTAAAAAACTTCTGCAGAATGTTTATATTATGCGAGAAGAAGTTCTTAAAGCAGTCCATAATATCACATTTAGGCTTCTTTATATAATAAAGAAAATGTCATTTGATTTTAAATTGAATTTTGTACAAGTGATTTAGAAAGACAACTCCTTCCATCTGTTATCGTAACATGGAAAAATGAAAAGAACGGAAAAAATAGCTTTAGGTTAGACAATCATATCAAACTAGACGATATACAGTGTCACTCATTCTCAAGAGATGGAATTTATATACAATTAAATGTGAAAAAAAACACAATTTCTAGTTACTTATTCACTTACATTACACACTTAATCTCATCACTCAGTGGTACGGGTTTGAATCCCTCAGAAGGCATCAGTTTATCTTAAAATAGCAAATGGGCACAGCTAATTAATGTCAACATTCATGAAAACTAGGTGAAGAACTAATTCTCCACCTTGTCTTAGTAACATCAAACAAAAAATTAACGTGACCCAAAATGTATTCATCAGTCCTTTAAATGTACCAGTAGATGAAGACAGACAGGCCGGTAGGCAGGTAGGCAGAAAATATCAACCAAACACCTAAAACGTTGAGTTAAACTTTAAGTCGCTACACTGCATATCACAGAATTAAAACAGAAATGGAGAAAGAGAAAGAAACTGTAAAGTCGTAAGATAAAAAGAAGAGATGAATCGAGATGATGAGTGTTTCTGCACTATGACAATTGTTTCTCAGCCATAGTACTTAGAACGTTCATGTCTCGATTTCAGTAATCTCGCACTACTGTAGGACAAAACAGCTGTGCAGTGCTCCCAGGTTTCCAATGTTTCTCCGACTGATGTCACTCTATGATGGATACCAAAATAAAATCATCAAATAAATCTCAAAAAGCTACAAATTGAATAGTTTTAGTGCCCATTAGTGAATCGCTGCGAGAGATGATTCTCGATGTTCTAGTGGGGAAAACCAAGCCGGATATGAGGACAGATTGTAAACGACGACACTAGATGGAGGTCACGCTTATTGCGAACTGATCGAAGTAGTAAATATAGACCAGTGGATTCCAACCCAATGGCTCACTGGTAACAAGCTGGCCAAGGAACCTGAAGGTCCTGTGTTCGATCCCCGGTGGGGTCGTGGGTGCGCACTGCTAAGGGGTTCTATACTAGGACTAAACAGCTGTTGAGTGCTCCCGGGTTTCGAGTGTTCTTCCAAATGATGTCAGACTGTAATGAGTGGCAACCTGAAATCCGAGATTCTTCAGCCTCTAAACTTCAGACTGATGTTCAAAGAATTCATGTGTGAACCGCAATACATAAGGAGTGATGGTACCTTCACAACCTTCTACTATTGTCACATAAACCTATTCACATGAAATATCTCTTTCTTTATCATTGGAATCAACTGTAACACAGCTTAAAATTGTAGAGTAGTCAGAAAACTATTTGATTTCGTTTAACGAGCATCTGGAATTCGCCACGATTTATTCGAATAGTCAATGGAGTGGCTATTTTGTGATACAAAATTTAGGCACCGATCAACAGATATATTTTCATTGTCATTTTGACTATCTGAGAAGTCTGGGGTTTGGCAGACTAGTAGTGATACTGCATGATGAATGGAGGTGAAATGAAAATTTTGGACCGTAGCTGGATTCAAACCAGCGACCACCGGGTTTCCGGCCCGATGGTGTACTAAGCTATGAGGTCCAACTGCTGCCCGATAGTAACACGTCACGAATTCACACGGTAGCTGCGCAAACCCCTTGGTGATTGAAATGAAATAAAAATCTGGTCAGCGGTCGAATCTCGTAGCTCAGTTAGTCGATCATCTGGCCGGAAACCCGGTGGTCGCTGATTCGAGTCCTGCCGTGATCCAAATTTTCATTTCACCTTCAGCCATAACTCAGTATAAACATATTTTAGTTCAATGACTGCACAATCAAATCTTCAAAAAATACGTGATAAACTGAACTCGGAATAATTAGTGTACTTGTTCATTACTATTTACTCAAGTAATTCATGGTTGGCACAAATAAATATTATTTTGAACACTGATCACGTTTCAAGACAGAGATGGAGCAAACATGGAATCATCACAAAGAAGTGACCTATTTACCGAGATGTACAGAGCAGCTTATCTTGGTTAATTAACAGACCCAGGTGTCTCTGCAAA